GAGAAAGAAAGAAAGAAAGAAAGAAAGAAAGAAAGAAAGAAAGAAAGAAAGAAAGAAAGATGGAAATAAGGAGGAAAAGAGGGAAAGAAGGAAAGAAGGAGGGGAAAAGAAAGAAAAAAGGAGGAAAAGAAAGAAAGAAATAGAAGGAAAGAAGGCGGGAAAGAGGAAAAGAAAGAGGGAGAGACGGAGCAGGGAATTTTTGCATGTACCCGCCCCCTGGACTCTTTACTGCCGGAGCTCTACTCCTGTGCGCTCCTGCAGGAAATGACCCGTGTATCCTATCAACTAATGGGGTAACAGATTTTAAGACAAGCCTCTCTGTAGAATGGGCAACTGAAAAATATATGCTCTACCGATTCAACTTAGCATGAAGTGCATGAATATAGCCTTTCAGGGTAGGGTTTTTAATTGTACCTGCCTTGAATAACCACAGATGGAAGGGGCGGAACATCTGGCCTTCTAGAGTTCTTTCCCTCTACTGAAGTCAAATGTGTAGCCGGCTCAGTGGTGTTTTTGATATTTAGCAACACCCCGAGTTTTGAAACCTTAGCGATATCAGATTAACGCTCCATATCCTCAACTCTTTGTTTAATTAGCCCTTCGGCTCGTTTAAATCTGTAGGATAAAAGCAGCTGAGGTGAAAAGCCAATTCTATGAATATGAAAGTAAACTGCCTTAATCCAACTGGACTTGAAATCATCCTGGAATATCAAGGGGAAGCAAGCCTTCTGGGTTGAAATGACCTTTCAGCCACATGCGGATAGATAGAAGCCCTAGCTTCAAACCTAAGGTTCCCAGACTCCAGTCGTATCCAAGCATTGGATACACAGTTAGGAACTTGCAGAACTAAACTAGCTCCCGGACTATTAATCTTTTCTGCTGCTACAGACAGATTAAGGGTGCATTCAGACGGGAAGCTAATACCACAATTGGCCCGGCTCTAATTTGATCCCGAACTTTTTTATCCGGCGTTGCACAACCAGACAGCTTCCCTTGCCAAGTGCGTACTCCACGGTGGATTGTCTAGACGGCATCCACCTGAAGGAGCCGTGCAGTCAGGGTTTTTTTAAATTCTATTTGCGCATGCGCATCCGCGCCTCAACGTGGACTGGTTTTTCCGTGCATGCGCGGGAGTTAAATGGTTAAAGCACCGCCAGTGGTACCTCCCTCTAGGTACCTTTTTAATTAATTCAGTTCATAAAATTCACGGGCCGTTTAGGAACATTAAATTGTCCGGAACGTTTGAGCGGAGCTCTGCGGCTGTTGCGCGTTTACACGTTTATGTGCATATTGCTAAAAATGTTTCAAAATGGCGCCCGCTTGGGATGGTCTGACATCAGGACCATCCCGATGCGAGGATTGCACGCCGGAACGATCAAACAGGGGAAAGTCCGCCATTGGCCCGCCAGGAAGCGAAAACTCCAGACTTTGACTAATATCTTTTAAATACGGCTCCGTAGCGTGGCAAAACAGGATGATCACGGAAGAAGCACGTTTCACAGATTTAAGCATTCCGCTAACTAGTGGTAACTGGACTAACCACACCAGTGAACCCCAATAGGTTATGGGCACAGCACACTTCTGCTGCATTTGTAGCTTTATTTAAGCATTCTGCTAACTAGTGGTAACTGGACTAACCACACCAGTGAACCCCAATAGGTTATGGGCACAGCACACTTCTGCTGCATTTGTAGCTTTATTTAAGCATTCTGCTAACTAGTGGTAACTGGACTAAGCACACCAGTTAACCCAAATACAGGAGACTGTACCAGTGGCTTGACAGCTGTAGGCCCCACCCACTTTTCCAAAACACTTACTGGACATTAGGAGAGGTGTTGGCGGGGGCGTGGCACTTATGGGCACCCCGGTTTAAACACAATTTTCTTGTCTTACCCTGTAAGGTATCCTAGTATTATACCCATATTGCATTTGGGAAACTGAGGCAGAGAGGGAAAGGGGCTGGCCTAAAGCCACGTAACGAGTCGGTGGTAATAGTGGGATTTGAAGTGGGGAATCTAGCGGCTTCCGGATCATTCTCTTAGGCTAATAAACTGGTCTTGAAACCTAGGACAGGCTGGAGGGAGAGCTGAATCGGGGTAGGGGGCACTTGAAGGGCTTGCGTCCTGCGAGGAAGTGCTCTTCCCCAGGGAGGGGGCTTTCTTGACATTGTTGGATCGATGTGTCTTTTGGAGGTCTCAGTTTATCTCCACCTTTCAGGCCTGAAGTTGTTCCTGAGGCACCTCCAGCCCGTCCTGGACCCCCAAATCCTCCCGAGGCCGCTGCTTCCCCTGCCGCAGAGGGTCTGCCTCTGGAAGAACCAAAGTCAGCGGAGGTCCCTGGCTTGACAGAGGGACTGACAGAAGAGACGCCCAGGCCAGCTGAAAAAGAGGCGGACAGGACATTGGCTCCAGAGGACTCAAGCAAGGCCAAGGCTGCGATCCCCACAGAGGAGCCCAGTCCGGCCGCTCAGCTGCCTTCCAAAACAGGAGAGGACGCAGCAAACCCAGTTCCTGGAGCCGAGGCCCTGCTCAGTCCCTTCCTCACTCCGGACTTTGGCAAAGAGGACCCGTCCCAGATCTTGGGTAAGACCACGAAGCCGTCGGCCTCTGTGGGCAGCAGGGAGAGTGTCCGGCTAGTCGACCTAGAGTAGGGCTGCAAGGAAGAAGGGGTGGGCTGGTTGTTCCGGGCACAGATCCTCATGTCCGGAGAAGCCCTGCTTTTTTAAAAAAAAAAATAATGGTAGAAGATGCTAGTCTTTTTTGAGGCCCTGAAGACAGAATAGCAGCAGACAGAATGGGGGGGGGAGAGGGATGGCAGGGATTAAAATTGAGAGCCAGTTTGGTGTCGTGGTTAAGTGCGCGGACTCTAATCTGGGATAACCGGCTTTGATTCCCCACTCCTCCACTTGCAGCTGCCAGATGACCTTGGGCAAGCCGTAATTCTGTCAGAGGCGTTCTCTCAAGGACAGTTCTGGAAAGAGCTCTCTCAGCCCCGCCTACCTCACAGGGTGCCTGTTGTGGGGAGGGGAAGGGAAAGGAGATTGGAAGCCGCTCTGAGACTCGGAGTGAAGGGCAGGGTATAAATCCAATTTCTTCTTCTTCTTCTTCTTCTTCTTCTTCTTCTTCTTCTTCTTCTTCTTCTTCTTCTTCTTCTTCTTCTTCTTCTTCTTCTTCTTCTTCTTCCAATATGCCTGATGTGCTGGTAGACTTGCCAACCTCCAGGTGGGGGCTGGCAATCTCCTGAAATTCTAACTCATCTCTTAGGGTTGCCAGCTCCAGCTTAGAGAATACCTGGAGATTTGGGGGTGGATCCTGGAGAGGGTGGGGTTTGGAGAGGGGAGGGGCCTCAGCAGGGTACATTGACATAGAATCCACCCTCCCAAGCAGCCATTTTCCTCCAGGGGAGCTGATCTCTTTTGTCTGGAGACCTGCTGTAATTCCAGGAGATCTCCAGGTCCCACCTGGAGGCTGGCAACCCTATCCTCTCTGGATCACAGAACTCAGTTCCTCTGGAGAAAACGGCTGCTTCAGAAGGTGAACTCCATTGGTGTTATACCCTGCTGAGATCCAGGGGTCATTTCGTAGAAAAAGAGGTGCAGGAGCTCATTGGCATAACTCATTAGCATAACTCATTTGCATATGCCACACACCCTGATATCACCGGAAGTGTGTCAGAAGGCAACACCCACCGCTCAGGCTCCACTGGACTGCTTTAGATTGCTAGCTATTGGGGGGGGGGGATGTGCAGATCTGTCCTCACAGAGGAGGGAGAGCTTGTACCTGAATAAAACTTGGTCTTCAAGGTGCCACTGGACTGTTTGGGGCCGGGGGTCCCCTCTACAACTTACCTGGCTGCTTCTTGCTTTGACTGAGGGCTGCTGGGAGCAGGGGGCGGGGCTTGTTGCATGTGCCCACCCCCTGGGCTCTTTACTGCCAGAGCTCCGCTCCTGTGCGCTCCTGGGTAGCTGTGTTAGTCTGTCTGTAGCAGTAGAAATGCATATGAGTCCAGGAGCACCTGGAAAACCAACAAAACTTGTGGCAGGGGAGGAGGTGTTGTGAGTCATTCAAGATACCGGAAGAAGTGAGCCGTGACTCACAAAAGCCCCTGCCACAAATTTTGCTAGTCTTTAAGGTGCCGCTGGACTCTTATGCTTTATCTGAGTGATTTCTAGTCTGCCTTTCTCACTTGGACTCTCGGTAGATTACACAGAGTGAGTCAGTACACAGAAATCTGGATGCTTTGGTTGAGAATTGGGATATATATTCAGCAGTACAGAGTATTTCTTCTCCCTCCCTCCAACACACGAAAAATAGCCTTGCTCCAAGCCAGATCAAGGCTCCTTTGTAAACTCCCATATAGTCCAGGATGGGTCACCATGTTAGTCTGCCTGTAGCAACAGAAAAGAGCAAGAGTCCAGTAGCACCTTGAAGACTAACAAAAATTTGTGGTATGAGCTTTTCGTGAGTCACTGCTCACCTCTTCAGATACCAAAGAGCAAGAGTCCAGGGGCACCTTAAAGACTAACAAAATCTGTGGCAGAAGATGTTTCCTGAGTCACTGCTCACTTCTCCAGGAAGCCCATCCCCTGCCACAAATTTTGTTAGTCTTTTCCTACTGCTACAGACAGACTAACACGGCGACCCATCGTGACCAGTCTGCACACGAGCACATCTTTTTTCTCCACGCTAGCCGTCAGCAGAACTCGCCGGACGGGGAGAAACTATTCCTAATTTTTCCAGCTGAGCCGGAACGGTTGTTTTGGTGTCCAATCCAGGCAGCCATGGCATGGCGGAGAGGGAAGACTGGCACCTCCTGAATGGAGAGTTTGCCCTCCCCGGTCTCCTTTCCATCCAGCACTTTGGCTCCCGACCAAAGTCCTGCCATCGCCAGCCAGGCAGGGTTGCAGGAGTCTGGCCGTCTCAGAAGATCCCCCAAGCAGCTGGTGCCCGGTTCGGCTGGGGTCTTGCTGAGGCAAGGTGTCACAACCCCCAGGGGGTTGCCACCTTCGTCTGCCACCACTCTGGGCTTCGGGTCCCTTGAGAAGGCCCAGAGTTCCCTCCCCAGCCCATCCAAAATGCCCCTTTTAAGCTGAGAAAATATAGGTGTGATGACCAGGCAGAGAACATAAAACAAAGGGTTTATTAACACAGTAATGGGGCACTGAAAGCAAGACAAAGTGCTTAAAATATATGAGTGTCTAAAGGCAAAATCAATCAAATCTAACGCGACTACCTATTTCAATTAACTAGTTACTCTTTCAAGGCCCACAGACCTCGTATACCAGGCCTCCTGCCTGTACTCACTCTGTCCCAAGTGAGGGATCTTTTCCTCAGACCCAGACTGTCCCCTCAGTTTAGCTCTGTGAGAGACAAGACCGCAGAAGAGAACGAACACAGTTTTCACCGCACACAAAGTTTTTCACAGTCTCTTCAGACAATCCCTAGACACTGATTAGTTACCACTGTCGCTAAGCATTGTGGGGATTGTAGGCTATGTCTGCTTTCCCCTGCCATGCAGGCCTCTCCTGGGACCAGGCCGCACTAGGCCTTGCACCCAGTCCTGCAAAGATCACGACCCAAGGGCTGAGAGACTCCAGAGCAAGCCGCCTTGCAGGGAGCGGGGGCGTTTGCACTCCATCCTGCATCTGTCCGTCCCGCATTTGACTTTCCGTCGCCATTCCAGCCACCAGAGTGACATTCCTTCCCATGCGCGGACTGCGAGGCCCAGCCAGGCACCCCAGCACTGGGCATCAGGTGTTGCTCTGATCCCTCTACCAGCTGTGCTGGCAGGGACAGCCTGTCTTGTCACTGGGTGACCTTGGGTTGTTGTGTGGGGGGGAGAGGAATGTTGACCGGCCAATGCTGACTATGTTGAAGTGTGTGTGGGGGGGGGGGACAGGAAAGAAAGGCAGGGCGTTGCATTCTCTTGGGGTAGCTGTTTGCAGTAAGTATGCGCAATTCTCTTGTCCAGCAATGGGGTCTCAATTCGAGATCTTAAGCTTTTGGCTTCTCAGGGGTCATTTCGTAGAAAAAGAGCTAGGGGGACTCATTAGCATAACTCATTAGCATATGCCACACCCCCTGACATCACCGGAAGTGTGTCATAAGGTCACGCCCCCTGACATCACTGGGGTTCCCATTCCTAAGGTGGAGGCAGGGGATCTCCCGCGATTGCGAGGAGGAGGAGGCGGCCTGGGCGGGTCACGGCGGCGCAGGCGAGCCGCGGAACGGCGGGGCTGCTTCTGGCGGTGGCGGCTTCCCCCACGCTCAGCTGCCCGCTTGCTGCACCGAGCGTGACGGGAAAGGCGAAGCCGGGAGGCAGCTGGGAAACCTGCTCGCTCGTCCGCACCCAACGCAGCGCGCCCCGCCTCCTCCCCACAGCCGGCGGCGACCTCCAGCGGGCACCAGCAGGGAGCTCCAGGCCCCGCCCTCCCGCACCTCACCCGGGGGGATGGCATCCCCCCGCGTTCCCCCCCCCAAATGACCCCTGCGGCTTCTTAAGAATTGATGTTCCCGGTCCTTTATGGAAAGGAAAGGAAACATCTTTAAGGACACGAGGACCTCCAGTGGAGTCTCTGAGGCCAGAGAGGAAACCTGGCCGAGACGTCAAAAATATAGTGTCGTGAGCAATGCTCCCTCTAAGCTGTGGAGTCTTGTGAGCAAAAATTCTACTTTGTGAGCCACCGGCGTTAAAGTTTGTGAGTGAGAGATTTGGCTGCTGCATAAATGAGTTTGCCCTGGAGCCGTCCTTCCTGAGCTCAGACAAAAATGTGTGAGCCGGAGGCTGAAAAAAACTGTGAGCCAGCTCACACTGACTCCGCTTAGAGGGAACACTGGTCGTAAGGTCACTTAATAGAAAGAACATAACCAACAGAGAGCTTGCGTGGTGTAGCGGGTAGAGTGGCCGGGCAGGACCGTGGACACCCTGGGTTTAAATCCCCACTTCTGCCGTGGAAGCTCACTGAGGTGTAGGGTTTCCAACCTCCAGGTGGGGCCTGGAGATCTCCTGGAGTCACATCTGATCTCCAGACGACAGAGATCGGTTCCCCTGGAGAAAATGGCAGCTTTGTAGGATGGACTACTCTATGGATTTATACCCCGCTGGAGTCCCTCCCCTTTTCAAACCCCGCCCCCAAACCTCCAGGTATTTCCCAACCTGCATTCAGAGGACGGCGGAAAACAGGAGGGTCTGGCGAGATCTTGTCCATGGGGTCGCGAAGAGTCGGACTCAACTGTGCGACTGAACAACAACAAAAATTTGGCAACTCTGCTTGGGTGACTGCAGGGGCCCGTCACAAATTCTCAACCTGGCCTACCCGATAGGGCTGTTGTGAGAGAACAGAGGCGGGGAGAGCGATGTTCTGCGCCCCTTGGAGTCCCAACTGGGGAGAGAAAAACAGGGTGTAAATAAATCAATGGGAGAATGCATGCACGGAAAGGCCTGGGTTTAGAAGCACCAAAAATCAACAAATACCGTGCCACAGATAATCACAAAGCATCTCAAGTAATTTTTATAAATTTATTCATTTTTATATATTTTTTATATTTTTAATTTTTTCCTATAAATTATTCACCATTATATT